TAGCCCCCCCCGTGTACATAGCCCCCCGATGTACATACAGCCCCCCCCTGTACATAGCCCCCCCCTTTGTACATAGCCCCCCCCCGTGTACATAGCCCCCCCGTACATACCCCCCCCCCGTACATACCCCAGCCCCCCCCCGTGTACATAGCCCCCCCGTGTACATAGCCCCCCCTGTGTACATAGCCCCCCGTGTACATGTCTGGTGTGGGGGGTGTGGACAGTGGAAGGGTTCAAGCTGTAGGATAGCTGGAGGGACCCTAGAAGGGTGTGATTACTAAGCTGCTCCTCCCCTCTAGTCAGTGCACCAGATTGTATGTAAGATCATATCTGCCAGTGTGTGGTCAGCCGTCTGGAGTGGAGTCTCCCCCCGGTGGTGGGCAGAGGTAGTGCAGGCTGTGGAAGGATATCACGGCTGGTCTTACATAAGTTCAGTCCCCTTTATTCCCTCGTACCCCCAGTCATGGCCTCACGTGCACCTCGGTTAGGTAGTCACTGGGGGCGTGGAGTGGGGGGGGGGGAGTGATGAGGGGGGGGGGGGGGGGGGGGGGGGGGGGGAGGGGAGTGGGGGTACTGGGGGGGTGGAGTGATAGGGGGGGGGGAATGATGAGGTTTTGGGGGAGTGATGTGATGGGGGGGGGAATGATGAGGGGAAGGGGGGTGATGTGGGGGGGGGGGGAGTGATGAGGGGCAGGGGGGGGTGCTGGGGGGGGGTGGGAAGGTGATGGGGGGTGGGTGCTGGGGGGGGGGGGAGTGATGAGGGCAGGGGGGTGCTGGGGGGAGGGAGTGATGGGGTGGGTGCTGGGGGGGGGGGGGGGGTGATGGGGGGGGGGTGATGGGGGGGCAGGGGGGGTACTGCGGGGGGGGTGCTGGCGGGGGGGGAGTGATGAGGGCAGTGGGGGGGTGGTGGGGGGGGGGGAGTGATGTGGGGGGGGGGGGGGGGGGAGTGATGGGGGATGAGGGGGGGGGGGGGGGGTGGGGGGGGGGGAGTGATGAGGGGGGGGTGCTGGGGGGGGGGGAGGATGGGGGGGGTGGGGGGGGGGGGGGGGTGGGGGAGGGGTGGGGGGGGGGGAGTGATGGGCAGGGGGGGGAGTCTGGTAGTGGGGGTGGGGTGCTGGGGGGGGGGTGTCTGTGATAGGGGGGGGGGGGTGCTGGGGGGGGGGAGGGGATGTGGGGAATGATCAGGGTTTTTGAGGTTGGGGGGGAGGGGGAGTGATGAGGGGGGTGGGTGCTGGGGGGGGATTGATGAGGGACAGGGGGGGCTGGGGGGGAGGGGTGGTGATGGGGGTGGGGTGACTGGGGGGGGGATGTGATGAGTCTGGGGGGGGTGCTGGGGGGGGGGCCCCTGTATATCCTTCATAGGATGTACCCGGCAGGGGGGGTGATGGGGGGGGTGCTGGGGGGGGGGAGTTCTAAGGGCAGGGGGGGGTGATGGGGGGGGTGCTGGGGGGGGTACCCTTGATAGGGCAGGGGGGGTGCTGGGGGGGGGAAGTCATGGGGGACTTGAGGGGAGTGATGATGGGCATAGGGGGGGTGTCTGGGGGGGGGGGAGTGATGGGGGAGGGGTGAGTGATAGGGCAGGGGGGGTGCTGTCATTGGGTGCTGTACCTCTGTTTATGTTCCTTAGCTGAAACCTTCAGACTTGAAATGACAGACATGTGGCTTGAGCTTGATAGGGACCCTGACTTATTGTCAGGTACCTTCATAGGAGTCTTTGCTGCTGTACCCTTCATAGGGCCCCTGTACCCTTCATAGGGCCCCTTATTGTACCCTTTCATAGGGCCCCTGTACCCTTCATAGGGCCCCTGTACCCTTCATAGGGCCCCTGTACCCTTCATGGGCCCCTGTATTGTCTGCTGTACCCTTCATAGGGCCCCTATTGTCTGCCCTTCATAGGGCCCCTGTCTTATTGTCTGCTGTACCCTTCATAGGGCCCTGTCTATTGTCTGCTGTACCCTTCATAGGCCCCTGTACCCTTCCCCTGTCTTATTGTCTGCTGTACCCTTCATAGGGCCCCTGTACCCTTCATAGGGCCCCTGTACCCTTCATAGGGCCCCTGTACCCTTCATAGGGCCCCTGTCTGCTGTACCCTTCATAGGGCCCTGTCTTATTGTCTGCTGTACCCTTCATAGGGCCCTGTCTTATTGTCTGCTGTACCCTTCATAGGGCCCCTGTCTTATTGTCTGCTGTACCCTTCATAGGGCCCCTGACTTATTGTCTGCTGTACCCTTCATAGGGCCCCTGACTTATTGTCTGCTGTACCCTTCATAGGGCCCCTGACTTATTGTCTGCTGTACCCTTCATTATTGGCCCCTGTACCCTTAGGGCCCCATAGGGCCCCTGTACCCTTCATAGGGCCCCTGTCTTATGTGCTGTACCCTTCATAGGGCCCCTGTCTTATTGTGTGCTGTACCCTTCATAGGGCCCCTGACTTATTGTCTGCTGTACCCTTCATAGGGCCCCTGTCTTATTGTCTGCTGTACCCTTCATAGGGCTCCTGTCTGTCTGCTGTACCCTTCATAGGGCTTGTGTTATTGTTTGCTTTTCCCTAGATGGGTGACCTGGACTCCGACATCCGGCCTCACCTGAGCAGCTGGTTTGAGGTCTCCATATTGCCGATACAGCGGATAGTGAGCGTTTTCCAGGAGAAGCTGGCCTACCTGTTACATGCGGTGAGGAGTGTTATCCCGGATACAGGGGAGGAGCTCCTGGAAGGACAGGTCTCCTCCTTGCACTGGTCTCCTCCGGTTGCTCACTGGTCTCCTCCTTGCACTGGTCTCCTCCTTGCACTGGTCTCCTCCGGTCGGGGCTCACAGTCTCCTCCGGTCGGGGCTCACAGTCTCCTCCGGTCGGGGCTCACAGTCTCCTCCGGTCGGGGCTCACAGTCTCCTCCGGTCGGGGCTCACAGTCTCCTCCTTGCACTGGTCTCCTCGGGGCTCACAGTCTCCTCCGGTCGGGGCTCACAGTCTCCTCGGTCGGGGCTCACAGTCTCCTCCGGTCGGGGCTCACAGTCTCCTCTGACTCTCTCTCTTCCAGGCTCTCAGCTACACTACAGTGGAGGTGACCAACTCTGACGAGAGGACGAAGAACGACATCAACAGGTACAGGCGTGTCACATGACAGGAGACCTGCTCTTCCGGGGGGGGGGGGCACTGTGGGTACACTCCTCATGCTGGGGGGGTGTCGGAGTCACATAAGGGGTGGGAGAACAATCATGGGGGGGGGGGTGTCGGAGTCACATAAGGGTGGCAGAACAATGGGGGGGTGTCGGAGTCACATAAGAGGTGGCAGAACAATGGGGGGGGTGTCGGAGTCACATAAGGGGTGGGAGAACAATGGGGGGGGGGGGGGGAATGTCGGAGTCACATAAGGGGTGGCAGAACAATGGGGGGGTGTCGGAGTCACATAAGGGGTGGGAGAACAATGGGGGGGGGGGGGAATGTCGGAGTCACATAAGGGGTGGCAGAACAATGGGGGGGGTGTCGGGAGTCACTTAAGGGGTGGGAGAACAATGGGGGGGGTGTCGGAGTCACATAAGGGGTGGGAGAACATGGGGGGGGGGGGAATGTCGGAGTCACATAAGGGGTGGCAGAACAATGGGGGGGGGGGGGTGTCGAGTCACATAAGGGGGTGGGAGAACAATGGGGGCGGTGTCGGAGTCACATAAGGGGGTGGGAGAAACAATGGGGGGGGGAATGTCGGAGTCACATAAGGGGTGGCAGAACAATGGGGGGGGGTGTCGGAGTCACATAAGGGGTGGGAGAACAATGGGAGAACAATGGGGGGGGGGAATGTCGGAGTCACATAAGGGGTGGCAGAACAATGGGGGGGTGTCGGAGTCCCATAAGGGGTGGGCAGAACAATGGGGGGGGGTGTCGGAGTCACATAAGGGGTGGCAGAACAATGGGGGGGGGGGAATGTCGGAGTCACATAAGGAGTGGGAGAACAATGGGGGGGGGTGTCCGAGTCCACATAAGGGGTGGGAGAGAACAATGGGGGGGGGGTGTCCGAGTCACATAAGGGGTGGGAGAACAATGGGGGGAATGTCGGAGTCACATAAGGGGTGGGAGAACAATGGGGGGGGGTGTCGCAGACAGTCACATAAGGGGTGGCACAGAACAATGGGGCGGTGTCGGAGTCACATAAGGGGTGGGAGAACAATGGGGGGGGGTGTCGGAGTCACATAAGGGGTGGGAGAACAATGGGGGGGGGAATGTCGGAGTCACATAAGGGGTCTACAGCCAGACACAATGGGGGGGTGTCCGGAGTCCATAAGGGGTGGCAGATAAGCTTTCAGAACAATGGGGGGGGGGTGTCGGAGTCACATAGGGGTGGCAGAACAATAGGGGGGGGGAATGTCGGAGTTACATAAGGGGTGGCAGAACAATGGGGGGGGGGTGTCGGAGTCCCCATAAGGGGTGGGACAAGAACAATGGGGGGGGGGTGTCGGAGATCACATAAGGGGTGGGAGAACAATGGGGGGTTCCTGGTGTCGGAGTCACATAAGGGGTGGGACAGAGAACAATGGGGGGTGTGTCGGAGTCACATAAGGGGTGTGCACAGAACAATGGGGGGGTGTGTCGGAGTCTACATAAGGGGTGGGGAGAACAATGGGGGTGTGTCGGAGTCCACATAAGGGGTGGGAGAACAATGGGGGGTGTGTCGGAGCTCTACATGAAGGGGTGGGCTCTAACAATGCAGGTTCCTTGCCCTCCTCCCCTGTGGGGGGGTGTCGGAGTTTCCTTTGCTTTGTACCCCTGTGTGTATTGCAGGTTCCTGACTCAGCCAGTCTGCAGGGTTTGGTACAGGAGGGCACAGGACAATGGCATCTCTATGCATCGCCATGACTGAGAGACACCAATCTACAGTCACTGTGGACTCTTCAGAGAGGGACAGCCAGAGCTGTGGGAATGCAGGTCTAGAGCCCTCTGACCCTCCTACCATGCCGGACTTCTGTCACATGTCTGTGTGTAGATCCAAGTGGGTGACATGTGTGAGACGCTGACATTTACTGGTGTCATCTCTGTGTATGCAGTGCAAGGTCCTGGCCGTCCCCCTGTGTGCACAGAGCTTTATGTACTAAGACGACTCTACACTGACCCTACCGGGCTCTACACAGACACAGTGCAGGTTCCTGGCCCTCCCCCTGTGTGCACAGATATTTATGTACTAGGACAGCTCTACACTGACCCTACCGGGCTCTACACAGACACAGTGCAGGTTCCTGGCCCTCCCCCTGTGTGCACAGATATTTATGTACTAGGACAGCTCTACACTGACCCTACCGGGCTCTACACAGACACAGTGCAGGTTCCTGGCCCTCCCCCTGTGTGCACAGATATTTATGTACTAGGACAGCTGTCATGTCTAGCAGAGGGAAGTAGTCTCCACCATCTACATACAACATGAGAGTGTATTGGGTCCAGCCCCCCTGAGTCCGTGCCGTCCTCTGTACACATTCTCACCCTACCGGCGTTTGGAACATTGCAGTCAGCAATCGCTTCTGTGAGGATTGGATGCAATTAGGACTTCATCACACTGCTCTGACGCTGGAAGCCCCTTCTTGTTCCGCCAGAAACTGGAGAACTTCAAGTTGAGCAAGTGAGTGACCTGAGTTCTAGGTGGGTGGGTCCAGCCCCCCTGAGACCGGTGCCTGGGATGCAGCAGAGGGGGAGGAGACAGGGCCTGTCATTGCAGCAGAGGGAGGAGGACCGGGCTGGGATGCATTCTTCATCAGAGGGGGGAGACCGGGCTGGGATCCGCAGCAGAGGGAGGAGACTTCAAGACTGAAAGGAGTGCAGCAGAGGGAGGAGACCGGACTGGGATGCAGCAGAGGGAGGGACCGGGCTGGGATGCAGCAGAGGGAGGAGACCGGGCTGGGATGCAGCAGAGGGGGAGACCGGGCTGGGATGCAGCAGAGGGAGGAGCCGGGCTGGGATGCAGCAGAGGGGAGGAGACCCGGGCTGGGATGCAGCAGAGGGGGGAGACCGGGCTGGGATGCAGCAGAGGGGGATGCAGCAGAGGAGGAGACCGGGGCTGGGATGCCGGGCTGGGATGCAGCAGAGGGGGGAGACCGGGCTGGGATGCAGCAGAGGGGGAGACCGGGCTGGGATGCAGCAGAGGGAGGAGACCGGGCTGGGATGCAGCAGAGGGGGGAGGCCGGGCTGGGATGCAGCAGAGGGGGGAGACCGGGCTGGGATGCAGCAGATGGAGGAGACCGGGCTGGGATGCAGCAGAGGGAGGAGACCGGGCTGGGATGCAGCAGAGGGGGGAGACCGGGCTGGGATGCAGCAGAGGGGGGAGACCGGGCTGGGATGCAGCAGAGGGGGGAGACCGGGCTGGGATGCAGCAGAGGGGGGAGACCGGGACTGGGATGCAGCAGAGGGGGGAGACCGGGCTGGGATGCAGCAGAGGGGGGAGACCGGGCTGGGATGCAGCAGAGGATTTGGGGCGCAGTGGTGGCTGGGGAGGCCGGGCTGGGATGCAGCAGAGGGGGGAAGCCGGGCTGGGATGCAGCAGAGGGGGGGGAAGCCGGGCTGGGATGCAGCAGAGGGGGGAAGCCGGGCTGGGATGCAGCAGAGGATTTGGGCGCAGTGGTGGCTGGGGAGGCTGGGCTGGGATGCAGCAGAGGGGGGGAGGCAGCAGGCCGGGCTGGGATGCAGCAGAGGGGGGAGGCCGGGCTGGGATGCAGCAGAGGGGGGAGACCGGGCTGGGATGCAGCAGAGGGGGGAGGACCGGGCTGGGATGCAGCAGAGGGGGGAGACCGGGCTGGGATGCAGCAGAGGGGGGAGACCGGGCTGGGATGCAGCAGAGGATTTGGGCGCAGTGGTGGCTGGGGGAGGCCGGGCTGGGATGCAGCAGAGGGGGGAAGCCGGGCTGGGATGCAGCAGAGGGGGGAAGCCGGGCTGGGGGATGCAGCAGAGAGGGGGAGGCTGGGCTGGGATGCAGCAGAGGATTTGGGCGCAGTGGGGCTGGGGATGAGCTGTGACTGGGGGGAGGGGGCTGGGGGATTTGCAGCAGAGGATTTGGGCGCAGTGGTGGGAGGAGGAGGCCGGGCTGGGATGCAGCAGAGGGGGGAAGCCGGGCTGGGATGCAGCAGAGGGGGGAAGCCGGGCTGGGATGCAGCAGAGGGGGGAAGCCGGGCTGGGATGCAGCAGAGGGGGGGAAGCCGGGCTGGGATGCAGCAGAGGATTTGGGGCGCAGTGGTGGCTGGGGAGGCCGGGCTGGGATGCAGCAGAGGATTTGGGCGCAGTGGTGGCTGGGGAGGCCGGGCTGGGATGCAGCAGAGGATTTGGGCGCAGTGGTGGCTGGGGAGGCCGGGCTGGGATGCAGCAGAGGGGGGAGGCCAGGCTGGGATGCAGCAGAGGGGGGGAGGCCAGGCTGGGATGCAGCAGAGGGGGGAGGCCAGGCTGGGATGCAGCAGAGGGGGGAGGCCGGGTTGGGATGCAGCAGAGACCTTTTGTTGACCGCAGTGTATTGTTGGTCTGTTTCTTCCTCATCGGTGATTGCCTTGCCCCCGTTGTGGGGGTGTTTTGTATCACAGTCCCTAGCTGGTGCAGGCTCCATGTTTCTTTTGGGTGGAGTTGTCCCCTTGACACTCTTCTCTGCAGGTCATGTTCTTCCTCTGTGGCCTCCTGCAGTCTGACAGACGCCCGTGTTTTTCATGGACCTCACCTGGTTCAGTTTTGGTCCTCCTGGTGGTCCGGTGTTACGGCACTTCCTGGTCCTTGTTCTGTCAGAAGCTGTTGCCCACACCCTCAGTTGGACTGCTATTGGATGTCCCACCTGTATATAAATCCCCTCGTCTCTCATTGGATGATGGAGAATATAAGATTCCTATGATACTAAACACGCGGTGTGACTGACGTTCCTCCTTCTCCTCTGTGTGTGGGTGACAGCTCTGTAATTGTCTTCATTAAAAAAAAAAAAAAACCCTACAGGTACTGTGATTCTTTTTTCCTATGTGATATACAGCTGTCACATGACCCAGCTCTCTCCCAGCCTGTCTGCAGGGAAACAGTGGCAGGAGGAGCTTCTAATCCTCTGCTGCTAGTCCCATGTCCAAAAACAAAACTGAAAAAGAAAAAAAAAAAAAATGTTTGGGATACAGAGTACAATCAAATAATATGAATAAACAGTTTAAAATTGTCAAACAAATATATATTTTAAATCAATTCTTGTTTTTTGGCAATAACATAGTGTGGGTTCCTGCCAATCACAAGATGTGCCACGCCCCTCCAGCTTCGTCTTTGAATAACAGGGAGGTGAAGCCTCCATCAGTCAAGATGTGATATCCCCCCCCTATTGTCTTTAGCTGTTATAGAGGAGGAGGGGGAGGGAGTGGGCTGTCATTTACTACTGTGTATACGCCCACATGTGTGACTCTATAGTCACATGGGCTGCTCAGATGTGACGGGGAGGAAATGCTCAACATAGAAACTCACCGAAAACTGAGCATGTGCAGAGTTACCACCACAGCTACAAAATCCCCAACTGTTGTGGGGACATGGACAGAAGAGGGGATAGGGAACAGCAGGATCAACCAGGTTTTGTAGAGTACAGAAAACTAACCCCATAGAGACTGAGTGTGAGCCGCATGGAGTGCTGCATGACCCATTGATTTCATGGTGAGGTTTTGTTGGACTAATGTAAAGTCTTTTTCTTCTTCAGGTGCATTGAGGGTCTCAGGCCCCACCCCCTCCCCTCCGTATTGTTTGCTGGCCCCGTGTATTGCTCTGTCACACATCTGAGGCATGCTGGGTGGAGGGGACTTTATATAGCTGGGTTTTCTGTTTGCCAACCTCTGCTAGGCAGCAGGATAACCCGACTCTCTGAATTGCTGCATCTCATCTGGAAGAAATGCTATTTTATCTGTCCTAGCGAGGCAGGTCCAGACCAGGAACGTTTCTCCACTCATTATGGTGTGGGAGCACCGTGGGGTGTGGGAGAGCACCGTGTGGGGTGTGGGAGAGACCGTGTGGGGTGTGGGAGAGGACCGTGTGGGGTGTGGGAGAGGACCGTGTGGGGTGTGGGAGAGCACCGTGTGGGAGAGACCGTGTGTGGGTGTGGGAGCATCGTGGTGTGGGAGCACACCATGTGGGGTGTGGGAGAGGACCGTGTGGGTGTGTGGGAGAGGACCGTGTGGGAGAGGACCGTGTGTAGGGTGTGGGAGAGGACCGTGTGGGGTGTGGGAGCATCGTGGGTGTGGGAGAGGACTGTGTGGGGTGTGGGAGAGGGACCGTGTGATGTGGGAGCATCGTGGTGTGGGAGCACACCATGTGGGGTGTGGGAGAGGACTTTGTGGGAGCATTGTGGGGTGTGGGAGAAGACCGTGTGGGGTGTGGGAGAGAACCATGTGGTGTGGGAGCATCATGGTGTGGGAACACACCATGTGTGGTGTGGGAGAGGACCGTGTGGTGTGGGAGCATCGTGGTGTGGGGTGGGAGCACACCATGTGGGGTGTGGGAGAGGACCGTGTGGGGTGTGGGAGAGGACCGTGTGGGGTGTGGAAGAGGACCGTGTGGTGTGGGAGCACACCATGTGGGGTGTGGGAGAGGACCGTGTGGTGTGGGAGCACACCATGTGGGGTGTGGGAGAGGACCGTGTGGAGTGTGGGGAGAGGACCGTGGGGTGTGGGAGCATCGTGGTGTGGGAGAGGACTGTGTGGGGTGGGAGAGGACCATGTGGGGTGTGGGAGCACCCCCCGTATTCATATGTGGATAGGAATGACTGATATCAGGGTGGTATTTTCTCCTGTGGGCGGCGTTCTCCCATTCATGTGTCATGTGTCCCCATCACAGGCCATCCAGGACATGAACAATCTGAAGCGTCTGATTCGCCAGGCAGAGAGCAGTCACCACGCCCTTTTCCGCTGTTACAACTTCCTGAAGAATTGTGGCAATGGGGACATCCTGTTACAGATGGTGAAGGTGGAGCACACTGAGATGCCGGAAGCCAGCAGTGTGGTCACCGTCCTGGAGGAGTTCATCCAGGAGGAAGGTCTCTCTGTACATAGCTCCTGAGCCGTGCGTGCTGCGAGTGGCGGGGAGCCAGGGGGCGTGTTCTGGGAGTGCATGTTCCAGGGTGAGCTTTCCAAGGTGTGTATGTAGGGGGCGAGTGTTCCAGGGTGCGTATGTAGGGGGCGTGTCTCAGGGGGCGAGTGTTCCAGGGTGCGTATGTAGGGGGGCGTGTCTCAGGGGGCGAGCGTTCCAGGGTGCGTATGTAGGGAGCGTGTCTCTGGGGGCGAGCGTTCCAGGGTGCGTATGTAGGGGGCGTGTCTCTGGGGGCGAGCGTTCCAGGGTGCGTATGTAGGGGGCGTGTCTCAGGGGGCGAGCGTTCCAGGGTGCGTATGTAGGGGGCGTGTCTCAGGGGGCGAGCGTTCCAGGGTGCGTATGTAGGGGGCGTGTCTCAGGGGGGTTGCGAGCGTTCCAGGGTGCGTATGTAGGGGGCGTGTCTCAGGGGGCGAGCGTTCCAGGGTGCGTATGTAGGGGATGTGTCTCTGGGGGCGAGCGTTCCAGGGTGCGTATGTGGGGGGGTCTCTGGGGGCGAGCGTTCCAGGGTGCGTATGTAGGGGGCGTGTCTCTGGGGTGTCTCTGGGGGCGAGCGTTCCAGGGTGCGTATGTATGGGGGCGTGTCTCTGGGGGCGAGCGTTCCAGGGTGCGTATGTAGGGGATGTGTCTCTGGGGGCGAGTGTTCCAGGGTGCGTATGTAGGGGGCGTGTCTCTGGGGGCGAGTGTTCCAGGGTGTAGTATGTAGGGGGCGTGTCTCAGGGGGCGAGCGTTCCAGAGTGCGTATGTAGGGGATGTGTCTCGGGCATGTTCTGTGGTGAATGTTCCAGGGTGTGTGGTTTGTGGGGCGCATTTCAGGGTGAATGTTCTGGGTAAATTGTTCCAGGATGAATGTGTCGGGACACGTGTTCCAGAGGGAATGTGGCAGAGTGAATGTGTTAGAACTTCTGTTCCGGGGTGAATGTTCTGGGCTGTTCCCGGGGTTGTGTGAGTTTGGCTCTAGGACATGTGTAGAGTTGCCTTGGTCCGTGAAATGTTTCTGTTGGCGGTAGCAGTCCATCCGATGAGAGAAGTGGCATGGATGGTGATCTGGTGGTCCCATGTCCATAGAACAATCCCCCCCCCCCAACATCCCAGTAGTAGAAGAAGTGGCATGGATGGTGGTCCCGTGTCCATAGAACAATTCATCCATACCCCCCCCCCCCCCACATTCCAGGGGTGAGACTCTTCATCCATGACACTAATCAGAAGTGATCTACTTCCTGCTCACTTCTCATTGGCTCCTCACCCGGGGATGTGAAGTATGAAGGATGTGACTGGCTCCTCAGGACTGTCTGTATTGCCCATAGCAGCCCGTCATGGGTGGGTCATGGGTGGTAGAGGCCGGGCGCCCTCATCATGTGACTTTATTTATTATGAGCCCCATCCCCCGTACTGTAGGAAAGGCCGGTGGAAATGAAGGAACGCTGCATACATTTCAGATGTCTCAACAGAGCGCCCTCTACAGGCAGGAAATGGCTCCCCGCCATGTCAGCCGGAGGCTGCCTCCTCCTCCCTGTCCATCTCCAGCCATGTTCCCTCCCGGAGCTCAACAAAACACGCAGACACAGCCAATCAGACTGAAGCATGGCATGTCAGAAGCGGAGTCACTAGATTGGTGGAGCTGAATGGCTGCATTGTGTATCATTGACTTCACTGCTGAGGAGGAGATTGGTCAGTACACAGTGGTGGGCGTGTATTGTGGATGGTGCCCCCTGCTGCCCAGTGTCCAGTATTTCCATCTCATTCATGTGGGACATCGTTGTCTAATAGATATATCTAGAATGTTCTGTCAGTAATGTTGTCATCTCACCACCTCCGGCTGATTCACTTTTCTCAATAAATGTTCTGCTTTGTGGATGTTCCAGAACTCCGGACTCTTCACTGCCCTGTATGGGACGGGATCCCTAGGTGTAGTCACTATAGCACAAGGAAGGGGGTCAGACCTGGTCCATGCATGTAGAATGAATATATATCAAAATGGAGGCTACAGGGAGATTTGAACCCGGGTCTCCGGCACACTGCAGGGTCCATGTGCTGTAACAAATCGGTGAGCCACCTGCAGGTTGGTGGTCTCCTCTTAGGTTCTGGTCTATATCTTCATCACGGGTGTTGCCTTTGTCCTCCTGAAATAGGAGAAGGAACCTAGAGGTTGGTGAGCAGAGGTGAGTAGCTCAGTGGATAAGAACAGTGACCAGCCCACCGTAGACCCGAGTTCAAATCTCTGAGTGATCTGGCCGGACAATGAAGGTCTCAGAGAAGGAGAATGTGACCAAGGGCATGACAACCAAGCTGGAATCCCTGAGTGGGAGGTCATAACTCAGAGGATATGGATAGAAGGGGTGCGGACCCCAGCTGGAATCCCTGAGTGGGCAGACATAACTCAGAGGATGTTGATGGAAGGACACGGACCCCCAGGAACCTGAGTGAATTGGGCAGCAATAATTCACACAGAACAATGAAGGAAGCCTCATAGACCCCGTGTTCAAATCCCTGAGTGAAAGCTTGGAGGCCATGGACAACCCACCAGTCTGCTCCAGTCCCAGGTCCCCACAGGCCTGTAACATGTGTGGGCATCACATTAGGTTGTGGACACCCCCCCTCTTCGGTCCACGGTCTGTGACATCACTGCAACATATATAAATACAATGGGCTGTCTTACCGGGGCAGCCCTTTCCAAAAGCAAGCACTTACGAAAACTTTTTCTTTTAGTTGGCCTCACTATATATATATATATATAGTGCCTGAACCCCCTAGGGGAGGGACAAGGTAGTGAGCTGGAAACATTCCTCACTACCCTGTTCCACCAACAGGGGGCACAGCACCTGGGACACACCAACCATCACCACTGGGATTTGAACTCAGGTCTCCCACAGACCAGGCTGAGTCCTTACTCTCTGAGCCATCACCTGCACTCAGACACAAGGTGTTCGTTCTCATACTCCAGGTACTAACCTGCTGCAAATAAATGGAGAGACAGCAAGGCTTGAACCTGCGGCTCTAAAAATCTCTGCCAGACCATTGATGGCCACTAACCCCCAGAGCCCACCTACCAGGCTGGAGGAATAACCCGCTTCAGATGGATCTCAGTGTCATCCTCCACATTGCACAATACAAAAGGAGTAACAGCCAGTCCCGGGATTCGATCACACGTCTCCAGACCCTTCATGGGAATCCCAGAGCACACAACTAGCTGAGCCACGGGGCCAGGCGGTCAGGGGCCAGGCAGTGAGGGGCCACATGATTCCCACATACTATGATTTTCTATGTATTGGGTGTGAGCCAAAATAAAGGAAAACATTCCAATAGAGATAAAAGTCCCTCCAGATAAAATTGATGAAAATATTCAAAGCCCCAATAATCCAATGAGATGAGAAATATTCTATGAAACCGGTCCAAATACAGAACTTCTGAAGTAGGAGAAGTCCTGAGACTGAGAGGGGGCAGCGGCTGAGTGGACAGGAGCCTTGCCTGGAAAAGGAGATGAAGGAACAGACGTGAGATCGGATCCCAGAGCTGGCCACTCCACCCCCCATGGTCCAGGATCAGTCCCGAGCACAGCCTCAGAAAAGGAGAGGAAGGAACAGATCCCAGAACCAGCCAATCCACCCCCCATGGTCCAGGATCAGTCCCTGAGCACAGCCTCAGAAAAGGAGATGAAGGAACAGATGTGAGATTGGATCCCAGAGCTGGCCACTCCACCCTCATCATGCAGGATCAGTCCCTGAGCACAAACTCCCCCACCATCCAGGATCAGTCCCTGAGCTCAGCTGGGGGCAGAAGGTCTGCCACATGGTTGGAGGAATTGTTCTTATTAATTTTTACCACTAAAAGTATTCTAAGTCCCTTCTTCCAGAATAGAACATTCTCCTCTATGTTATGTCCTCTCCTAGAATATTCTCTAAGTCCCACCATCCGGAATAGAGGAGAATGTTCTAAGTCCCTTCATCCGGAATAGAGGAGAATGTTCTAAGTCCCTCCATCCGGAATAGAGGAGAATGTTCTAAGTCCCTCCATCCGGAATAGAGGAGAATGTTCTAAGTCCCTCCATCCGGAATAGAGGAGAATGTTCTAAGTCCCTCCATCCGGAATAGAGGAGAATGTTCTAAGTCCCTCCATCCGGAATAGAGGAGAATGTTCTAAGTCCCTCCATCCGGAATAGAGGAGAATGTTCTAAGTCCCTCCATCCGGAATAGAGGAGAATGTTCTAAGTCCCTCCATCCAGAATAGAGGATATAGAAGAGGCCTTAGTCCCGCACACCTCATCAGAAGTCAGCCATGTGTACATTAGCCCACCTAGCCGGACATTTTTGATATCGGACCGGGTCAGATGAGTATCCAGAGACCAGGTCTTGGTTGGTAGATGGACATTTGATGGTGGTTCTGGTAGTAGTGTATTCCCTGTGTGCGGTGTGAACTGGGATTAGGAGGTTAGGTCCCAGCAATGTGACTCTTCGCCTGTAAATGTTCACTTTCCAGTGAAAAGAAGAATTGTCCACACAGCGTCACGTTCTGTATTCCATCATCTTTATTTACATATGACACTCTGTAGAAAAAATAAGAGTTTGTACATCTCTCCAGTCTGTGCTGGCGACACATTCCAGGCTGAGGCCAGGAAGACAGGACATGACAATCATTTCCTCCGAAATGTACAAGACTGTCACTTGCTGTGATCAATATGGAGCAGAAAGACATTTTACATGGCAGCAGATATTAAATCTGAACAAAAATTCCCAGCACCAGATTGCTTCCTCTCATTCAATAATCTCACTGAAGAGCGCCCCCACATGGAAGGGACTGGATCAGACTGATTGGTTCTCTTTCTGGGTGTCCAATCACCTGTCAGAACTCAACCTTGTACAGGAACTCTGTTGACCCAGTACAAAGCCATTGATTTTGTGGATGGAGCGGTGAAGGATTCATACCTCTGTCAGGTTCTGAATGGTAATGTAGAGTACTGCAGAGTAATGCAGACTATTGCAGAGTAATGTAGAGTACTGCAGACTATTGCAGAGTACTGCAGAGTAATGTAGAGAGTACTGCAGAGTAATGTAGAGTACTGCAGAGTAATGCAGACTATTGCAGAGTAATGTAGAGTAATGTAGACTATTGCAGAGTAATGCAGACTATTGCAGAGTAATGTAGAGTACTGCAGAGTAATGTAGACTATTGCAGAGTAATGCAGAGTACTGCAGAGTAATGTAGACTATTGCAGAGTAATGCAGAGTACTGCAGAGTAATGTAGACTATTGCAGAGTAATGCAGACTATTGCAGAGTAATGTAGAGTACTGCAGAGTAATGCAGAGTAATGCAGAGTAATGCAGAGTAATGTAGAGTAATGCAGACTATTGCAGAGTAATGTAGAGTAATGCAGACTATTGCAGAGTGGTAATGTAGAGTAATGTAGACTATTGCAGAGTAATGTAGACTATTGCAGAGTAATGCAGACTATTGCAGAGTACTGCAGAGTAATGTAGAGTAATGCAGACTATTGCAGAGTAATGTAGAGTAATGTAGACTATTGCAGAGTAATGTAGACTATTGCAGAGTAATGCAGGACTATTGCAGAGTACTGCAGAGTAATGTAGAGTAATGCAGACTATTGCAGAGTAATGTAGAGTAATGTAGACTATTGCAGAGTACTGCAGAGTAATGTAGAGTACTGCAGAGTAATATTACTGTCAGCCATCGATTAATGCAGGACATTTGCAGTATAAATGACCTCCTATGTTGGTGAACTTGTCTATATACATCTATACTCTCCTCCACTCCCACTGTGGGGTCCCAGAACTCACTCACTGACACCGTCCACCGGTCTTCTTCTGGGTTCTGATTTTCAGCCATTTTGATTGGTTGGGCTGAGATGATGTCACCACCATGCATTCATGGGAGTCATGCATCTTGGCAGATGGTGAAATTGCTAACTGAGCTGCGTGTGTAGATCGCCAGCAAGCAGGTAAGAATACATTAATGTAGAAGAGGTGCGGAGATGTGGAGGGTTGGAGGTGCGGAGGTATGGAAACACGCTACACACATCTCTGTCCTTGTATGTGACGTCTCTGCAATCACAGGACACGCTACACACGTCTCTGCAGAGACGTCACATACGATGGCAGAGACGTGTGTAGCGTGTTCTGTGATTGCAGAGACGTCACATACAATGGCAGAGACGTGTGTAGCGTGTTCTGTGATTGCAGAGACGTCACATACAATGGCAATCACAGGACACGCTACACACATGAACGGTAGGTAGGTGAAGGAACACTTCCAGGTGGCCCTGTGCTGACTTACGATTTGGATCTTTGTGTCCATCAGTGATAACAGATTGTCCCAGATATACAGAGAATGGACTTATCAGTTGACGTGTCCCCTGGAGCTTCCATCAGAAGTATCACATCTAGGTCTATGGAAGACCAGACCCCACCAATGACATGTGCCAGGTACATGGTGACACCCCTTCCTGTCTATAGAAGTCCATCACAGTTTGTGAATGAGCGACCTCCCCAGACATGGGACTGTCCAGACTCCTCCGGTCCATACTCCGCTCTGGATGGAGCTCCTTGCCAGGCATTCATGTGACATAAACATAGGTCGGTCGGTGTGGACACGTGTGGAGGTCATAGCACCTTGCTCTTCAGGCCTTCCCAGCCAGCCCAGATCCTCGGAGATCTTTCAGTCAGTGGAGGTTGGAGAAGATGGCGTGTTGGGTGTGACCGGCGTGGGGAGCTCATGGCTGGAGGTGGGTGCAGTGGTCAGGTGGAGCGTGTCTTTCCTCCTAAGGCAGTGGCGGTAATCTCAGCCCCGGCATGGAGAAGGCGAAGACGTTCCATAACACGGCAAATGCCACAAACATGATGTAGCTGCTGAGAAAGATCCACCAGAGTGACTGGTCCTGGAGTCTCTGCTCAAAGTTCCTGAGAATCACCACTCCCAGCGTAATGCCCACCAGCACCCCGCCAAGGTGGGCCACAAAACTGGGGTGAGGACACGGAGGGTACGCCGACGGGTAGAATCTCAGCCACACGGCTCTGCCAAACTCAAAACTCACTGCAGAGAGAACAGAAGGATTACAACGAGAACCACGGACACAGCGACACATACAACGTCCTGACCACGCTCCCACTCCTGACCACGCTCCCCACTCCTGACCACGCTCCCACTCCTGACCACGCTCCCACTCCTGACCACGCTCCCACTCCTGACCACGCTCCACTCTCCTCACCACGCTCCCAGACCTCACCACGCTCCCGCCTCCTGACCACGCTCCCGCTCCTGACCACGCTCCCGCTCCTGACCACGCTCCGCTCCTGACCACGCTCCCGCTCCTGACCACGCTCCCACTCCTGACCACGCTCCCACTCCTGACCACGCTCCCACTCCTGACCACGCTCCCACTCCTGACCACGCTCCCACTCCTGACCACGCTCCCACTCCTGACCACGCTCCCAGACCT